AGCTGACTTACTGCCTTGGAAATATTATCTAGTGATGCTGTAATACAGGGGGCATGAGTGGATGACTTTAATAAACAAACTTATTCTTTTATAGTTTAGGGGACTGTTGTTGTGTACTGTCAAGTTGGAACTGACTCACAGCTGACCCTCAAGGGGCTTTTCAGAGGCAGTAAATCACATGGAAGGAGAGTGTCTTTCTCCTGTGGAGCAGCTGGTGGACGAGAACCATGTGCCTTTGAGTTGGCAGCACAGTTCCTTAGCACTAGGCCACCAGAGCAGTGGAGACTGTTGTCATGTACCATTGAGTTGGAACTGACTTATCGTTGACTCTCCAGCAGGTTTTCAGAAGCAGTTTAGTCTCAGGGGAAGAGATTGCCCATCTGTGTCCCTCAAAGCAGGTGGTGGATTTGAGCTGTGTGCCTTTGGCAAGACAGCTTCTTGCCACTAGGCTCCCAGACTAGACATCCAAATTCAGAATGTCAGATATAAGAGAACACTTTTTCTGTGTGTCAGTGTTGCAGGAAGGTCCTTGTTTCCTCCAGCATATGGGGGCCCCAAGTTCCTTGGAGCTCTCGATGTGTCTTGGCTTTTCTGGGCCAAGAAGAGCCCAGGTCCAGAAAGATGCACTCCAACGTGGTGTCTTTCCTGCTTGGTAGTGAGGAACCCTACTCGCCACTCCATCCTCTCTCTTTCTATCTCTTATGAGATGAAAGGTGCTCTAGGTCACATCCCTGAGACACATCCTCTTACATAAGGACTGCACGCTCATCCTTCATCTTCTTACAGATGGCTGATTTTTGATATCCTGGGAGACAACCGCAGAACTTGCACATTACTTCATTTCATACGTGTACATTGGGGGTGATGACCCACAATCAATGACAATGGTATTTTTAGGCTGTGGTCAACAGCTATAAACACTGGATGCTGGAGTGTGCAGCCTTGTGCTCTGTGTTGGTCAGGTGCTCTGTGTCCCATGAAAGTTCCTCATGGAATCTTCAAAGGATTCAGAGCCACAACTCTCCCATGAGTGCCACTGTGAGCCCAGGTTGTCCCCATGCTGCCTGAGGGTTTTATGTGGATGAGTACTCCTCTCAATGCCTCACTGGCACCATTCGGGTTCTCTTCTCAATGAATGAAGAGTCTCATGCTGTTGGCAGAGTTGCCTATCATCCTGCCCTCTATCATTTCGTTTCTTTCTATGTGAGGAAGGTTTCAGCCAGCCTAACGGCTTCCCTAAAAATTACTGCTAAGAAAAGTTCACGAAAGTTTCTAGTTGGTCACTTGATTTCTCTGTTAATTAGAAATTACTTTACTGCAAAATCAAGGAAAGTCCTTTCTCCATACCTAGTCAACCTGAATGCCTAGCAAATCGTTCGAGAGGCTGGACATTATGAAGAAGAATGTGGCATCAGGATCAGAGGAAGACTCATAAACAGCTTGCGCTATGTAGATGACACAACTTTGCTTGCTGAAGGAAAACAAAATTCTCACCATTGGGCTACTTTGCAACATCAGGATAGGTCTATGTTGTCAATAATGTTATTTGACTTGGATCCACAATCAACACCCTTCATTGTGTCAAGGGAATCAAAAGACACATCTCATAGGGAAGATCTGCTGATATGGACTGTGTCAGAGAACTAAAGAGCAATGATGTCAGCTTAAAGACTAAAGTGTTCCTGATCAAAACCATGATTTTAATTGCTTGTTATAGAGCTGATACTTGGACAAAATTTAGGTCTAAATTCCACAAAAGTCTCACATGCTTTGGACTTGTTGTCAGGAGGCACCTCCTTGGACAAGGACGTAATGCCAAGAAAACAGAGAAAGAGAAGAGCAGTACTGACACATTCCTGGAACAGTAGGCTGGGAGTTCATGAGGATGATGCAGGATGGGGCACCGTTCTGATCGGTTGTTTATAGTTGTTGTTTGTTATTATATGCTGTCAAGTCACTTACAACTCATAGCGACCCTGAATACAAGAGCCCTAAACTCTGCTGTATCCTGTGCCAACCTCATTGTCTCTGATACACCTACTCCCATTACCTCAATCATTGAATCAATCCATCTCATCAAGAGTCTTCCTCTCCTGTGCTGCCCCTCCACTCTCCCAAACATGATGTCACTCTCCAAGGACCAGTCCCTCCTTGCAACATGCCCAAAGTATGTCAGATGAAACTTCAGAATCCTTGACTCCAGGGAACATTCTGGTTTCACCTTCTCTGGGATGAACCTGTTTGTTCTCCTAGTAGTCCATGGTATATTCAATACTTTTCTCCAGCACCATAGCTCAAAGGCATCAATTCTTTTGTTTATAGTAGGGTGTTTTGTTGTTGTTGCTAGGTGCTGTTGAGTCAACTAACATGATATGAACAACATTTGAACAATGGATCTGAACCCTGCCTGTGTTATCCTCATCATCCATGAGATTTACTCAAGCTCATTGCTGCAGTCACTGTGTTGATTCATCTTGCAGAGGGTCTTTTTCTTCTTTGCAGTTCTTCCACCTTTTCCAAACATGATACCCTTTTCCAAGGAATAATTGTTGTTGTTTTAGATGTCATCAAGTTGAGTACCACTCATAGCGACCCTGTGAACAAAAGATATGAACCCAGTCCTGTCCTGCGCCAACCTCACACTTCCTGACACACAAGAACCCATTGCAGCAGTCACTGTGTGGTTGAGGATTTTCCTCTCCTTTGCCAACCCTTCCCAACATCATGTCCCTCTCCAAGGAATAGTACCTCATAGCAGTTTGTCCAAAATATTTGAAGTGAAGCCTCATCATTCTTGCCTCCGAAGAGCACAGAAGAAAATGAAAAAATCAAAATAGATGTCAGAAGAGACTAAAGATTGCACAGAAACATTGAGAAGTCAAATCTAAAGGAAAGCATGGTGAAGTAAAAAAGTAAAAGGGCAACTCAGGAGGACAAAGCAAAGTATTACAATGGAATGTGGAGACAGAGCAAAGTATTATAATGGAATGTGAAGAATAAAAAGGGAAGAACTTGCTCTGCATTTCTCAAGCTGAAAGAACTGAAAAACAAATTTAGGCGTCGTGTTGCAATGTTTAAAGATGCTATGGGCAATGTATTGAATGGCCCAGAAAGCATCAAAAGAAAATGGAGGGAATACACAGAGTCACTGTACCAGGAAGAATTGCTTGACACTGAAAAAAATTCAGGAAGCATCTTATGAACAGCAACCACTGGTAATGAAAAATATAAGTCCCTAGGAATCGTTGGGATACCAATTGACTTGTTTGTATGAACAGATGTAGTCTTGGATGCACTCACCAGTCTGTGCCAAGAAATTTGTAGGACAGCTGTCTGGTCAACAGATTGGAAGAGGTCCATATTTGTTCCTATTCCCAAGAAGGGTGATCCAACTGAATGTGAAAATTATTGAACAATATCATTGATATCACATGCAAACAAAATACTGAAGGTCATTCAAAACTGGCTGTAACAGTACAAGGACAGAGAATTGCCAGAAGTTCAAACAGCATTTAGAAGAGGCCGTGGAACCAGGGATATCATTGCTGATGTCAGATGAATCCTGGCTGAAAGTAAGAAATAGCAGAAGAAGGTCATTTGTGCTTTTTTGACTATGGAAAGGCGTTTGACTATGTGGATTATGAAAGTTGTAGTTGACATTGAAAAGAATGGGAATCCCAGAGCATTTGATTGTGCTCATGAGGAACCTAAACCTGGATCAGGAGGCTGTTGTGTGAACAGAGTAGTGGAGCAGGCATGGTTTTCCCAAGGAATAGCCCCTCCTAATAACATGCCCAAAGTATGTGAGACAGTTTCACCATCCTCGGCTAGGGAGCAGCCTGGTTGTACATTCCCCAGTTCGTGGGATATTCAGTACTCTCCTCCAACACAACCCAAAGGCATTCTCCATCATCCTTATTGACTGTCCAGCTTTGAGATGAATAGTATTAAGTCTGGGCAAAGGGGACCAAAGAGAAGAATGAAGAATGAAGAAGTCAAACGCTGTTGGCCTTGCTTGCTGCTGATAAGAAGAGCAAATGGCCTTGCCTGTCTGGCTGAGCTAGCAGGTGGCTCATAAATTAGAGTGGAATGTCCCTCTCTAAAGACTATAAAAATCCTCCCCAGTAAGTTCACAGTGTGACTTCCCATTCTGCATCTCCAGGATGAGGAACTCACCAGGGAGCTTCCCCTACCCCCTTTAATACAGCTGCATTAAGCTTTCTCTCTGATTTCTTCCTTAAGTCCGCTAACTTGACAGATGTTGTTGTTGTTATGTGCCGTCCAGTCGTTTGCGACTCATAGCGACCCTATGTACAACAGCCCTAAACTCTGCTCTATCCTGTGCCAATCTCATTGCCTCCCACACACCCATCCCGATTACCCCAGTCACTGAATCAATCCACCTCATAGAGGGTCTTCCCCTCCTGCGCTGTCCCTCCACTCTACCCAGCATGATGTCCCTCTCTAAAGACCTGTCTCTCCTTACAACATGTCCAAAGTATGTCAGACGAAGCCCCAGAATCCTTGCCTCCAAGGAGCAGCCTGGTTTAACCCTCTCTAGGATGAATCTATTTGTTTTCTTGGCAGTCCATGGTACATTCAATACTCTTCTCCAGCACCACAGCTCAGAGGCGTCAATTCTCCTTCTATCCTCCCTAGTCATTGTCCAACTCTCTGATGCATAACAAGTGATTGCAAAAACCATGGGCAGATAGCAAGTCACTTAAACGATCGGGGCTTGAATCAGTCGCTCCTTAGTCTGTGAACTGACTTCCACTTGTCATTACTTTCCTCCCTTGCCGCTAAGAGCTCTGCAGTGGACACAGTCCTCGTCTGCTGTGCTACATCCACCCTCCACGTTGACCATACGGGAGAGCTTCCCACCCTACCCCGCGCCGGCCGCCCAGGGAGAAAAAAATCCCGAGTGCCGGGCTCACGTCAGCTGTGCGCATGCGCCGGCACCGCCCCGCCGTGCGCGGGGTCAGGGGTCAGCGCGCAAGATGGCGGCGGCGGTGACCTTCTGCCGGCTCTTCCTGAGCCGCGGGGCCGCGCTGCACTTGCCCCAGGCCGCCAGGTGCTTTGGCGTGCGGACGTCTCCGACGGGGGAGAAGATCACACACACGGGCCAGGTAACACCGGGGTGGGGGGCCGAGGGACGCCTTTTCCGTCGGGATCCCCGGATCTGGTGCGAACCGGGCTGCCTTCCCCGCCACTGCGCGTCCCCTGTTCCCCGAAAAGCCGAGCAGAGGAAGCGGCCCCTGCCCGGCCGGACGAGGTGCCCAGGCTTTGCAGGACATTGGGCAGCCGGACGAGTGCGGGTCCTGGCTCTGCCCTGCGCCCTGGACCCTCGAACAGTGCTGCCTCGGCCCTGCGTGACCGGGGAGCTGGCCCTGGGGACCCGGAGAGGACATACATGCTGTCCAGAGACGGGGGTCCCCTGACACTGACCGCCGCAGGGCTTTGGGGGGTTGGGCCCAGCGTTCGGTGCTTGCAGTCGGCGCGATGACCCATCCTCCACTGCCCTGCTCCTGTAGCCCGTGGCTGCAGCCATGCATCGTGTCCCTCCAGCCTGTGTGTCTCCCGCTGACCCTCCCTACCCCACTGCCCAGCACGATGTCGCTCTCCAAGCACGATCCCTGACGCGCTGCAGTCCCAAAGGCGCGCGGTTCGAATCCACCAGCTGCTCCGCGGGAGAAGGACGGAGAGGAGGGGCAGTCTCCTCCTCCCGCGCGATTTACAGCCGCTGAAAACCCCCCAGAGGGTCAACTGTGGGTGGGTTCCCTCTGCACCCCCACGCAGCAGGCCCCTGCTCACAGCGTAGGTGAGATCAAGTTAGAACAGCTTTGCCTCTGAAGAACACGCGGCCGCCCTTTGCCCAGGACGGGATGTTTTATTCTGTTGACAGCTCACGGGGTGGTCAGTACTCCTCCCCAGCCCCGCAGCTCAGAGGCGTCCATTCTTCCCCCCTCCTCGCTGATGGTCCAGCTCTCAGGTCCATCTCTAGGTCGGCCTCTTGTTGGAGTGCGCGCGCACCCACAGGACACAGCCTTTGACCCCATTCACGGAGCACCCCCACCTTCACAGGGACTGGGACGTGACTCACGTTTGTTCACTGACTGCTCTCATTTTCTGGCTTTACTCTGAAATCTAAGATCAGGCCTGTTCTCCTGTGGCCGGAAGGAGCCCTGGTGATGCAGTCCTTAAGCAAAAGGTTGCAGGGTCAGTTTACCAACAAGCTGTGGTCATCTGCTTCCGTGAAGACTCTCGGTTAGTGCCCTGGAGGTCCAGCTCACAGCAGCCCACGTCAGTAGCAGGAAAGGCTACCTGATCCTGCAGCTTCCTCACAATCTCTGCTGGGCTGGTCACTCTTCGCTGAGCTTTCCTTTTGTCTGTGACCCTGTCCTGTACCTCACATGGTGTCCTTCCCTCCTGAAGGCGGGCCCAAAGTATATGAGGTGAAGACTCTCCAGCCAGGATATTTTTTTTAATTATTATTTTTTTTTTTTAACAAATGTTTACAGAAAAGTTGGATTTTCCTTCATTCATCGTTGCACATGAAGGAGCCCTCTGTATACACTTCTACACTCAATAGCATATCCACCACTAATCCCCAACGCCTCAATCCATAGGCAGTAATTCTATGCTCTTGTCTCATTTTTGGATGTGTATGAGACAATTGATAATGCTGTGCCTTGGATCTGATACATCTCAGTCTTCATAGTGGCACTTTTGGGCTTTGACACTTTAAAGAATTACTTTGCAGTGGAACTCCTTGGAAACGTATGGGACAAGTGTTTTGGTTTTGGGGTTTTTTAAAAATGTGTGTGTGTGTGTGTGTGTGTGTGTGTGTGTGTGTGTGTACAGTCAAATGGAATCTGACTGGTACTGGAGGAGATTGTCCCTCCTTCTCCGGCAGAGCACCTGGTGGATTCGAATTGCGAACTGCGTACCTCTGAGATTGCAGTGCAGCTTCTTGCCACTAGGCCACCAGAGCTCCCTGGGACAAGTTTTTTAAATTTTTTTTTTTCCTCATTGTTGAACATTTTCTTACCCCCTCACCCCCAACACTGCAATACATTTCCTTGTTCCAGGTTGTTGTCATGCATATAAAGCCTAATCATATATTCCTTTTGGACAGTTCTTCCCCTCATCTGTTCTAATGCAGTGTTCATTTGCTATCCACTCTTTTCTCATTCTTTCCCCAACCCTCCCCTCCCCAGTGTCTGTCCTATAGTATAACAGCAGTGTTATGCAGTGCTTGTCCTTTTGTGACTGAGATATTTCATTTAGCATGATGTCCTCCAGGCTCCCTCCTGTTGTGTAATGTTTTACAAGTTTATTGTTTTTCATTCCTGCGTAATATTCCGTTATGTGAATGTACTGTAGTGTTTCTGTTCACTCATTGATGGGTACTTGAGTTGGTTCCATCTCTTTGTTATTGTGACTAATGCAGTAGTAAACATGGGTTTGCACACATCTGTTTGAGTCATGGCTCTTGTTTCTTAGAGTATGTTCCCAGGTATTCAGGATAGTATTTCTATATCTAATTTTTTTCTTTTTCTTGTTGTGTACCTTCAAATCGGATCTGACTGCCACAGGAGGAGATTGTCTCTCCTTCTCCAGCAGAGCATCTGCTGGATATGAACCATGTACTTTTGAGATTGTTGTGCAGCTTCTTGCCACTAGGCCACCAGAGCTTCCTTATATTCAAATTTTTGAGAAGGCACCGGACTGCTTTCCATAGTGGCTCTTCCATTGTACATTTCCACCAGCAGTGAATAAGAGTTCCAACCTTTTCACAACATCACTACCATTTGTTGAACTTTGTTCTTGTTGCTGGGGTGAGATGATACCTAATAGTTGTTTTCATTTGTATCTCTGAGAGCTAGGGATTTTGAACATTTCTTGATGTGTTTGTTTGCCATCTGAATGTCTTTTTTGGCAAAGTGTTCATATCTAGTGCTCATTTTGTGATTGGGTTGTTTACCTTTTTGCTGTCTATAAATTTTAGATATAAGTTCTTTAACAGAGTCACCCTGGAGAGGGTTAAACCAGGCTGCTCCTTGGAGGCAAGGATTCTGAGGCTTCATCTGACATACTTTGGACATGTTCTAAGGAGGGACAGGTCCGTGGAGAGGGACATCATGCTTGGTAGGGTGGAGGGACAGCACAAAGAGAGGAAGACCCTCTATGAAGTGGATTGATTCAGTGATTGGGGTAATCAGGGTGGGTGTGTTGGAGACAGTGCGATTGACACAGGACAGGATAGAGCAGAGTTTACGGCTGTTGTACACAGGGTCGCTATGAGTCGCAAGCAACTCGGCGGCACATAATGATTGCTAAATATTTTTTCCCAGTCTTGTTTTTTCCTTTTTACCCTGTTGGAGAAGTTTTTTGATGTACATAGAAATTTGATTCTTAGAAAGTCTCATTCATCTTTTTTATTCTCTGCTGGTTGCAGGTTTTTCATTATACTTGGAAGACTGTTCATGCTGTGGAATAGAGTTTCTAGAGTTGTTCCTAGGTTTTATCTGATAAATTTTATAGTCTTTTGTTTTACTTCTAGGTCCCTGATCCACCTTGAATTGATTTTTGTGTAAGGTGTGAGGTATGGATCTTGCTTTAGTTTTCTGCAGATGGTTTTCCAATTTTGCCAGCACCATTTGTTAAAGAGACTGTCATTCCCCTCTTAACTGATTTCATCTCCTTGTCGTAGATCAGTTGACTATAGGTGACGAGCCGATTTCTGGATTCACAGTTCTGTTCTATTGACCTGTGTGTCTGTTGCTGTACCAGTGCCGTAACAGGTCCTTGGTCTGTCTACTTGACTGGGGAGCTCACTGCTCCCAAAAAGGGGAGGGTAGCTAACCCTGCCTGCCTTTCTCTCTGTGGTCTCTGGGCTCACAGGAGGACTTGCTTTTGGGGGGGAGCTCCAAACCCCAGTGAGGAAGGGGAGGGCATCGCATCCTGCATGTGGTCCCTCCTCTCTGTTCCTGGAGCAAAGCTTGCTGGATGGGGGTGAGGGGCAGACAGCTGCCTCTGGTCCTGCCACTCTTGTCCCACAGTTAAGTTCTCTAGGGTGGAAGGCTTGTTGTTTTCTGACTGCAGCCCTCTGTCCTGAAGTCTGTAACCGTCCTTTGTGGAGTGGTCCAACCTGGTTCTATGACTCTTCACCACTATGACGTTTTACAACAAGGACCTTATCTCTGTTCTGCTCCAAGACCATATTCCTATGGATGCTTGTTGCTGGGGCCTTCCAGTTAAGGCACACAGCTGGGGAACCAGGATGATTTCCCTGGAGAGGGCAGTGTCTTAGCTGGATCCTGAGTGTTGGTGTTGTCAGTGTAGAGGTGGCTACAGTTGCCGGTTGCATCTGTATCAAGGTTGCAAAGCTGCTCAGGGAAGCTGGTGGGCATCTGAGGATGGGTCTTCATCAGGCAGGGCTGGGTGGGGTCAGGACAGAGACCGAGGACGTTGTGACCTGATCAAGATGGCACCAGTTAAAAATGGCACTTGGGCAGGGAGAGTGACTCCTGCAGCAGAGCAGAGCGTACAGGTGCCTGCAGTCGCCAGGTGTGGAATGAAGACTGCAAGCCTCTTGGGGAAGCTCATGGGCATCCAAGGATCCTGTGGGCCAGTTTTGTCTGATGACATCATCGTGTATTAGAATTGACTCAGCAATGGGTTATTAAGTTTATCTTGAGTATTTACCAACTACTGTGCACAGTATGTATCTACAAATTTAGTTATTTTTACTTCAATTATTGTATTGTCTCAGGAGCTCTGGTGCCTTAGTGGTAAAGAGTTCCACTGTCAACTCAAAGGCAGGCACTTTAAGTCCACCAGCTGCCCTTCAGGAGAAAGATGAGCAGGTTACTCCCATGCGAGTTACTGCCTCTGAAAATCTGCAGGAGGTCAGCTGTGAGTCAGTTCAAGCTTACTGGGGTTTATTGTTAACTGCGACTCATAGCAATCCTATGAACAACAGTTCTGTAGCCTGCCTGGTCTTGAGCCTGTTTCACTGACTCTGACACACCAATTCCCATTGCCCCAGTTACTGTGTCAGTCCATCTCACCTGGGGTCTTCCTCTTCTGTGCTGTCCCTTCACCCTTCCAAACATGATGTCTTTCTCCAAGGACTGGTCTCTCCTGGCCATGTGCCCAAAGTATGTGAGATGGAGCTTCAAAATCCTAGCCTGCAAGGAGAAACTTGATTTCACCCTCTTCAAATTTTCATAACTGGAGGATTTGTTGTAGTCTAAAATCCTCAAACTGTGTGCTACTATAGTGGTAAACCAAGCCAAGTAAGGGATGTACATTGCTGAAAGGGCACTTACTCCGCTCAGTGGGAGAAGCACTATGTGACCTGTGTGGAAGAAGATGGACATGGCCCGCCTGTGCTTGAGTGTCTCTTTCCTTAGCTCTTTCACTCCACCTCCCCCAGATTCTTTCTTCATGCGAGCCTGGCTTGCTTCCTTCCAATCCAGATGATTTGTCATGTTAGACAGTGTGCGGACAGTAATTCCCTATTGTGTGGCTCCCTCGTGTGTTAGACTAATCAGCAGTGGCCCAAGTGTTAAAAAGAACATCTTCCTACAGATGCAACTAATAAGTAGTAATCTCGTTCTGAATTAAGCTGTGACATTAACGGATGGGCTTTTCTTCTTTTTAGGTTTATGATGCTGAAGATTATAGGCAAATCCGGTTTGTGGGTCGTCAGAAAGAGGTGAGTGTCTAATAAACAACAGGTAGTCTTTTATTAGACTTTACATAACTAACAGGAAGTGACAGTCGGTATGGAAGAGTCTGTATTTAAAGACATTTCCCCATCTTGTGATGGCTTTAGAACTTCAGAATCTGTGCCTTCTGACTTTTGAATGTACTTTTGAGTGGAGGTTCTCTCCCCCTCCCTTGAAGTGTGCAGCAGCATAGCCTTTCGTAAGTGTATTTCTGATTTGTGTATCAATGGGAATGATCTTTCATATCTGTGCTTTATTCCTCTGAGACTCTCTGAGTAAAATCCTATCAATTTTTTTAAAAAGTCTTTTTGAGTATTTCTTAATTGTCACCAAATAAATTAGGACTTGCACTGACATAGCTGAATATGGTACATGACTTCTTCTCTGAGCAAGTCTTAACTCTGACACATTATTCAGTCCGAACACCAACTCAGGTGTCCCCACTGGGCAGAGAAAGAGTACTGCGACTGCGATTCTCAAAGCAGCTTGCTTCTCACCCAGCTGCTCTCCCTCTGCCTCCTTTCTCTCAGGCTCTGAATTCTCATTCCCGCTTCCTCTCCGAGGGCTAACCAGCTCCAACCCCACTTAGTCCTAAGAACATTTCATCCTTTTTTTAATGTCCTTTCTCCATACCTTTTATATATCTTTTTCTTTTTTTATTGTGATTTTAATGAAAGTTTGCAGAAAAGTTGGATTTTACTCATTTATTTTTGTACATTTTTTCCCCCTACACCCCAGTTCACTCATTTTGAGTGGAAAACATTCATTCATTGTTATACAGTTTCCTCCCCAGCTACCTCAAGTATGCTCTACTATGTACCTCTTATTCTGGACTGTTTTTATACAAATAATGCTTAACCATATATTCCTTTTAAACAGTTCTTTCCTTCATCTGGTCCAGTGCAGTGTTCATTTCTTATCCCCTCTTTTCCCAGTTTCCCCCCAACCTCCATGGCAGTCCTGTTTTATAATAGTGGTGTTGTGCAGTATTTGTCCTTTTGTGACAGAGATATTTCACTCAGCATAATGTTCTCCAGTTTCACAGATATTGTGTAGTATTTTGTTAGTTCCTTGTTTTTCAGTGCTGCGTAGTATTCTGTTGGTTGACTGTACCACAGCTTCTCTATCCATTCATTTGTTGATGGGCATTTGGGTTGCTTCCATTTTTTTGCTATTATAATAACACAGCAGTAAACATGGGTGTGCATACATCTGTTTGGGTGGCAGCTCTGGTTTCTTTAGGGTGTATTCCCGGTAGTGAAATTGCTGGGTCAAATGGTATTTCTATTTCCATCTTTCTGAGAAAGCACCATACTGCCTTCCATAGTGGTTATACCATTTTACACTCCCACCAGCAGTGAATACGAGTTCCAATCTCTCTATAATAGCCCACCAGCATTTGTTGTTTGCTGCCCTGTTGAACATTGGTATTGTTGCTGGGGAGAGCATTTCATCTTAAAACTCATTGCCGTCAAGTTGGTTTTGACCGATAGTGACCCCCACCCCGACCCCACCCCATTGGGTTCTGAGGCCAGTGAGAGGAGAGTTGATGCCTTTGGGTTGACGGTACAGCTCTGAGGACATTGCCACCCAGGCTCCCCTCCTTGGTCAGACATTTCTCCGCGTTCCTCTCCTCCACAGTCCCTTGCAGTCGTCCTCAGCCCCCCGTCCTCAGCTTATCCATGTGCTCATCCTCACCTGTGCCTGTGGACTGTATTCACCCTCTGGTTGCACAGATCATTGCAGTGGCTGCTCTTTCCTCTTGTGTCTCTGAGCTCTGCTTACTCAGGTTCAGTGCTGGCGTGGCACAGGGTGGTGCGTGCTGGTTTCCGTCCCTGTGAGGACCTTGTGCCGTGTGACTGCCCCTCTGTGTAGTGGACGTCTGTGGACCTGGTGGTCTGATGGAGGATGCTCTGTGCTGTTTTCTCTGGTGGAATGGAAGCTTCTGGACGTGGTGTTCTGGTACAGGGTGGAGTGTGGTGGAGAGATCCTCTGTGTAGTAGAAGCCTGTGTACTGGTACAGGATGGTATGCCTGGTGCAATTTGTTTCTCTCTGTTGGGTGGTGCTGTACGGGGTCATGTGTGTGCTGGATTTCATCTGTGGTAGAAGCCTGTGTTCTGGTACAGGGTGGTGGTTATAGTCTTCTATGTAGTAGAAGCCTGTTCTAGTACAGGAGGGATATGTAGTGAGTTTGGTCTGTGGTGGAAGCCTGTGTTTTGATATAGGGAGAGGTGTGTGGATTTGATCCTCTGTGTAGTAGAAGCCTGTGTCCTAGTTCAGGGAGGGGTATGTAGTGGATTTGGTTCTCTGTGTGGTAGAAGCTTGTGTTTTGATATAGTAGTAGATTTGATTCTCTGTGTGGTAGAAGCCTGTGTTTTGATATAGGGAGGAGTGTGTAGTAGATATGATCCTCTGTGTGGTGGAAGCCTGTTTCTAGTGCAGACAGGGGTGTGCAGTGGATTTGCTCTGTGATAGAAGCCTGTGTTCTGGTACCAGGTGACATGTGTGGTGGATATATGGTCCTCTTTGTGGTGGAAGCCTGTGTTCTGGGACAGGGTACCAAGTGTGGGGAATATGCCCATTGTATAATGAAAATATGGACCTGGCAGACTGATGGCCTTGAGCTTGAATTGCAACAAATTTAATTCCCTTGAAAATCCCTTCCCTAAATTGGATGCTGTTAGAATAATTTCTGTGAACTTGTTAAACACTGACTGAGGTACTGTGTACATTATCCGTTAAAGCCTTGGTGTGGGCCTTCCTCATCTCCCTCACCTGTTAGTCCATTTCTAGTGATAGTGGCTTTTTTAAGGTTTCTCCATCCTGCCCCAGCCTTGTACCGCTCGCACCAAATGACACTGGACATGGGACACTTCTTCATTGTGCTGACTGCCCTTTGCTTCTGGTCATGCTTCACATCTCCCAGTGAGGTCTCCTAATGGGTCGCTGGTTTGCAAAGAGCTGGCAGCTCCGATATGGAGATATGAGTGGCCTGGAGTGAGCCATTGTCAGCTGGCTGGTGTCTCTGAGAGACGCTCCTGGGTGCCCGGCCATACCTCACCTAGAGATCTTCCCCTGTGCCCAGGCAAACCTCACCTAGAGATCCTCCCGGGTGCCCGACCACGCCTCACCTGCTCCTTTGTCATAAGTGCTTGGGCCCCTGTGGTAAGTGCTTCTGTTAAAATGCTTCCTGTGGCCTCTGGCTCAGAACGACTTAGCAAGGAGAGTGGGGAGGAGTTTAAAAGAAAAACAAAACCGGATTTTCTGCTGGCATGTGAGGGTGAATAATTGAGGGTTCTGGCCTATAAGTGTGTCTCCTTGTGAGCACTGTTGACTGGCTGCTCCTGTCTGTCCTCCCAGAGGTCACTGGACTCTCAGAGGGTGAACAAGTCATTGTGTTTCCCCTGAGCCCTCTGGTCAGCTGTTCTCAGCTCTGTCCTGTCCGTGTGTAGAGTCCGCCGAGTCAGACCTCTGATAACTCCACAGGAGGGATCTGTTCCCATCCACAACATCAACCCAATTTCCAAGTCTTCAGGCTTGTCCCCATGCTCCCACAACTATTTGTACTAATGCCAGTACCAGTCCTGCTGCCTTTCTGAGTCCGAAATCCATTGCAATAGCTATGTGGACCTCACAGAAGTGGACAGTTACTGGGTTCATTAGAAAGGTTCACTGGTTACGACTTAGGATGACAACAGGAACAGTTTCTTGGTCAGCACAACTTCTGAAGCGTGCCCACAGGCCCTTCAGCCCTGGGACTTTTGGCTGTTGTTAGAAAGATCTCTCAGTCCTGCCAGTTAGGCGCCTTCCCCTCGGTCCTCCAGCAAACTTGAAGGAAGGCTCCTCGCTCTGGCTCCGTGGGGAAGCAGTTCTCGGCCAGCTCTGCCTCACGTCGAGACTCTGGTTCTCTGCTGCAGCTGCTGCTGCTCCTGAAGGTCTGGGGGATGTAGACATCCCTGGCCTGAAAGGACATGCACTGCATTGCTTTGCTGCTTCCTTGTCTGTGTTTGGATTCCCACATTTCACCTACTGAATCTGCTCAATTTAATGGCGTGACTCGTCAGTCCCTCTGTGGATAGACGAGCACACCCTATTTCCTTGATCCCACTTATCCATGTGGCAAAGTCAAGGTCAATGGCTAGGAAGTTGTTTTGAACAATAAACCCTTGTCACTACACTGTGCCAGTGGGACGCACAGTGAGTGAGTGAGGGTGCTGGCCACACTGTTACCCTGTGATCACTCTGGCCGGATGTTCTCACTCTGTCCTCAGAAGTCAGTGAGACTCACAGAGGGGGAGTGAGTCAGGGTACCAGCCACACTGTCCCTGTGAGGACTTCAGCCGTCTGCTCCCAGCTCTGTCCTGTTATAAGGTGAGTGAGTGTAGGTGCTGGCCACACTGTTTCCCTGTGAGCTCTCCAGCCGGCTGCTCCCAGCTCTGTCCTATCTGAGGTCAGTGGGACTCAGGGTGAGTGAGTGAGGGTACTGGACATGTTATTTCCCTGTGAGCTCTCCAGCCGGCTGCTCCCAGCTCTGTCCTGTTAGAAGGTCAGTGAGTGAGAGTGCTGACCACACTGTCCCGTGAGCACTCCAGCTGGCTGCTCCCAGCTCTCTTCTGTTAGAAGGTCAGTGAGTGAGTGGGTGAGTGACTGAGTGAGGGTGCTGGCCACACTGTCCTGTGGGCGCTCCAGTTGGCTGCTCCCAGCTCTGTTCCTTTAGAAGGTGAGTGAGTGAGGGTCCTGGCCACGTTGTCCCTGTGAGCTCTCTGGCCGGCTGCTCCCAACTATGTCCTGGCTGTGACTCTAGGACACAAGCCCAGCGCCCCAGCCTCTGTGTCTCTCTCTTTTCAGTATCACACATGTCTAGATGGCCATCTTACTGTTGTAGAGGTAGGAACTGTAGTTTGCCTGTTCTTTAGCCCAGAGCTTGGAATCACATTTCTGTTTTAAAATACTGAGAATTTAAACTTAACTGCAGGACAGGAGGGGCCAGTGCTAACTGCTCACTGGCTGTGACACACTGTGAGGCCGCCGGACTCCAGCTCGCTGCTGACCAGTGTGGCATACCACACACTCACCTGGGGACTCCAGACCTAGTCGAGGTCTTTCCTAGAGAGGACGTGTGTGCTGGGGGGGTGTCTTCACCAGGCCCCCAAACTTCTGGAAGGTCTTGGAGAGAGCAGCACTCTGGGACCACTTTGAGGGCATCGTAGGTGGGCACCCAGCTGGAAGAACAGTACCCAGTTCACAGTGATGCCTTCAGTGCTGTCTTGGGATCCCTGGTGGCACGGACAGGTGAGCACTCGGCTGATGACTGAAAGATTGGCGTGGGAATGCCTCAGCCACATTACGGGAGGAAGATGAGGCAGTATGTGTCCACAGTCACAGCCTTGGAAACGCTATGGGCCGTTCCCCTGCGCTGACTGAGTCGGGATCGAAGCATCAGCAGTGGGGTTTTACACATGACTGTGTAGCTGTACAGTTCCTGTACCCGGCGTTGGGGGGAGTGACAAGTTGTGTCTGGATCCACGGCTTTGCAGAGAGGATGACCGTGGTGGTCTGCATACGTGC